CTCCTTTGCCGCTTCTTGGCCTTGCCTCCTGTTCTGCGCCGACAGCCTCTCAGGCGCCGAGGTTTTAGCTGATTGTTTGTTGGCCGGACTGACCTCCTGCACAGGTGTTGAGGGGGCACGGGTGTGGCTGGCGTCCTTGGGCCCCCGGCGTCACTGAAGGCCAGTGGGCCCCCCAGCCGCTGGTGGCGGCAGCCCCTCGTCCCCACGCCATAGGAAAAACGGATTCAGCGCGTGAGGAGGGCCGGGTCCCAGGTTTCTGGGGAGCCCCTGGGAGGCGCCCCACCAGGTATGGGTCCCCGGCTTCCCGCAGGAAAGAATTCAAGAGCGAGCCACTGCTGAGTAAAGGCAGATTTACTTAGAGAGATGCACACTGCATAGAGTGCAGGCTGTTTCAGAAGGCGAGAGAAAGGCCAAGAGGTGTAGGGTTGGGTGCTCGGGCTAAAGTAAAAGTAGGTACACACTCCACAGACCGAGTGCGGGTGGTCTCCGAAGAGGAGGAAGCAAGAGAGACGCGGCCACAAGGCGTCGTGTTGCCAGCGTTTGTGGGCTGAGTAGCTTCAGGCCTACAAGTGGGAGGACCATTCCGTGTACCCTGGGGAAGGGGTGGGGATTCCCAGGAATTTGCCACGGCCCACTCTTTGACCTTCTGTGATTATCCTTGGGACTGTCATGGCCTCTCTGGGCATGTTGTGTATCATGCTACTCTGTCACCATCAGCATATAATGAAGCTCAAGATCTACTAGAAGTCAGGTCTCCCTCAAGGCCTACTGGGAGTTGAATCTTCCGCCATACTGGTGCTAATTGCTGTTATTCCCTGAATGTCTGTGCGCTGCCCTCTTCTTCCTTGTCTCAAGCCTGTCGCCTGTCCGCTGCCGGCCTGGGCACTTGGGGCGCAATCTGCCTCTTTCTGGGACTTGCATTCTGGCCCCACTCCGCTCCCCTGCCAGGATCACTTGAAAATACCGGCGTGACCCTGCCAAGTCTTCGAACCATTAGTGGCTCCCCTTAGCTTCTTAAGTAATGACTGCTTGTCTGGCCTGTGCATGAGAGCCCTCCGCATACCCTGTGGTGGTCCCTTCCGAGAGTGTGAACTTTGGAGTCAGCCAGGGACTGATCTCTTGGTCCACCGCTTGGCATTGTGGATCGCGGGCCAGTTGGTTAACCTTGCTAAGCCTCGGTTCCTTATGTGTCAAATGGGAATAATACTGTCTGTGTCCTGGGGATTTATGAAGGTTAATTTAGTACCTGCGCATGCTAACTGCTGAGTAAATACTGATAACAGCTCACCCTTCATGGGGAACTCAGTGCTGTAACTGTTCTGTTACAAACAGGTCACACTTTATTTCCCCCCCTTGCTTTGTTATGGGGTCCTCTCTGTCCAGGATGCACTTTTCTGCATGTCTTTCCCTGGTAACCCCACGTGTAGGTGCAACTGAAGAAGAATCCTCATGTCACCTCTGTCCCTCCCCTCCTCCAGTAATCTATCTGCTCTCTACTGTTGTACTGGGCTACTGCTGTTTTAACACCCACCCATTGTAAGCTTAATAATAGCTATCATTTATTGAATATATTGATTTCCTAACACCAGATCTTTTACCTCTGAGCCTTGGTAATTCCGAATCAGAAGTGAGATCAGAAATACAGGTGTGTGTTTAAAAATATGCATATAAAATAAAGGGTGGAATGTATGGGGAAAAGGCAGGAAAAGATGCAAGAAGATGATTGTATTTATTAAGAGAACAATTAGGAAAGAGCAAGTGAGTGATGAAAGCAGGTGAAACAGTTCTGCTTGGCTGCACGTCTCCCCAGACCCCACCTTACTCAGGGATGAGCCTTGAGGTCTCTGTGGTGCAGAACATGCCTTAACTTGTCCCTTCTTTCCTGGATTACTGACAGGTTTTTCAATTAGAAATTTCTCTTCATGGAATCTATACTATCTTTAGGATCTTTCTTGTGGATATACTCAGAATTGTCATGCTGTTTGTATATTCCAGTTGTCAGCAATGATTAAAGCCTGTTTCCTTAAAAAAAAAAAAGCACGTTAAATAGTCGTTGCCTCAGGTGTCCCTTTGCACTGTTACTTTATTTGGGTTTATTGACTTGGCTATAAGAATTTTACAAAGGGGCAGGTGAGGTAATCTTTTATTAACCTTCTCTTTCCTCTCCAGATTAAATATATTGGAAAGCTGGATCATATCCCAAAACTATTATATCTAAAAAGTATTTTTGTTCTTGATATTTTTAGAAGATGACCAACCTAATGACCAACTGTTAGTTATGATCAAAAAACGATTTCCTTAACCTTTTTTGCTTGTGTCTAATTATGCTGCACCTGTATGGTGTGGTTAAGTGAGACTTGCACTGGTATAGTTTTCTGTTCTTGAATGTACCTGGTGTCTAAAGCTTATTGGTGTTTACTTGTTGTAAAACATTTGTTGGTTTAATTGCATCTTCCCACTAGAATGGGTGGACGCAGTGTGGGAATTGGAGTTCACAGAGACTGAGCCTCTGGATCCCAGCATTGAAGCAGAGATCGTGGAGAATGGATTAAGTGCGTTCACAAAACTCTATGACAGTCTTCTCCCTTTTGCTATTGAAGAACATGGATCTACAGAGGTAAAAAAATTTTTTTAATCAAACTAGCCATCTTTATTTGCTAGAAGTAGAGGGCAAAAGTCATTGTCATCTAAAGCGTAGCTTTTTTCAGTGTATAGTTCATAAGGAGCACAGTGAGCAGCACGAGAGTGGGGTCCACTCGCCAGTGTGCCCTCACAGCCTTTCTCCCAAAGGCTCAAGGCGTTGTTCTGTGAGTCTTTGTCAAGTCGTGGCCACTTTTTACGAGAGCAAATTAAAGAATAAAGGCCAAGGCATGAAGGAAAACCAGACAAACCAAATAAGCAAAGATGGCCAGTGCAGTGACAATTCAGGCCTTAATTTAAGAAAATCTGATATTAAACTGAGAAGTGATCACTACAAATGGAAAAAAGAGTTCCTTTAAATATTGAGTCTACTCAGTGTGCTTATTACTATTTAGATCATTAACTGCTTTTCAGAAACTGAAGGGCTAGGCATTTGCAGCAACATGGATGGACCTGGAGTCCATCATTCTAAGTGAAGTAAGCCAGAAAGAGAAAGAAAAATGCCATATGATATCACGTATATGTGAAATCTAAAAAGGACACAACTGAACTTATCTACAAAACAGAAGCAGACTTACAAACAGAGAACAAACTTATGGTTACCAGGGGGAAAAGGGGGTGGGAAGGGATAAATTGGGAATTAAAAAATTCCACCTCTTGGAAAGTGATGGAAATGTTAGCTATCTTGATTGTGGTAGTGGTTTCATTGGTGTATACATCTATCAAAATTCATCAGATTGCACATCTGTGTACACTATCCTTCAGTGACATTGTACACATGTATATATGTAGTTTACTGTACAGGAACCATACTACAATAAAGGAGTTTAAAAAAAGGCTGAAGGGGTAGAAAGCTTAACAAAATATATTTAGATATTAACATCTCTGGAAAATTTAAATTATCAAAAAATGTTTCAGTTACAAGGCTCATGTAGCTATTCAGAAATTAAATCATCCAGTTAAACATTCGTTAAGTGTAGTGCTGAGTGCTGAGTGAAGCACCTTGGACAATCACATGATTATTAAGAATCGGAGCCTCTCCCGATATGAAGGAGGAGAATAAGCTTTGGCTCTTGGAGCGCCCAGTCCACTCTCTGCACTGACCGAAGCATACCATCCAGCCACACAGGTGGAGACCATACCATCGGGGTTGTGTTGTGAAAGCTGCTCTAAGACAGGTTAGTTAGAGGCAGTCTGACAGAGGCATGGAAAAGGAGCTCGGTAAGACTAGGAAGTTTCCAGAAAGAAAGCAGCTGGCTGCAGACAAGTCTTCACAAGTAGGTACAATTTAGACCAGCAGAACAGAGGGTCCCCGGGCATCCTATGGAGGGAGCATCACAGTGGGAATGTGTCGGGCAGGGCAGGGCAAGGTATGCAGAACTG